ATGATTGATCCACAAAGAGACGAGTGTGTGGAGCTCCGGCGCGCCAGTACAGCAACTGAGACACCAACGCGTTATGGCAGCCCCCCTACAGTTAGCCCACTTTATCCTCCAAATATTACGACTTTTTTCTCGCAATATTCCGACTTTGTTCTTGAAGTCTACTATTTCTATTCTTAAACCAGTGGCCCTAAAATGCCATCGTAGAACTGTATGCTTGCACTGGGTAGGTATGTCCAGCTGGTAAAAACAAGCTCAAAACAAAGTGTGCGCTGTACCCTGATTGGTGTGCTTGCTTTGCGCTTCTTTTGTTTTGACTTTGAAAAATGTCACGTTTTTATACACACATAAGCCAAAAGGAGAGACAGAATTTGCATAATGTAGTGGAGTAAAAAATAAGATATTTGACTTTGAAATGTAGTGGAGTGAAAGTAAAAAGTCACCCAAAATGGAAATACTTAGCTAGAAAAAAACTTAAGTACTTAAGTACAGTAGCGAATTACATTTACTTTGTTATTGTCCACTACTGCTATATAGTGATCCAGATTTTTGAATGTAAGGTATGGTTTTTATGGGACTATTTCAAACACAGTACCTTTCTTTACAGATTTTTTTGAAGTTGCTTCATTAAAGGATTTAGTACAAGCTTGCTAGTAATTACACAGAACCAGAGCCAAAGAGCCAAACCACCACCTGCCCTTTTACTTGTCCACAAAATGTAATACATCTACAATTTAGACTTTACAAGTAAGATACAGATTGCATTGCACAATGTGCACTTATGTTTTTGGTAGCAGTGCAACAATATTGCCAAAAGTTTGCAAGTAGCAAACAGAAACGCAAGCTTCTTTCATTCATTCAGTTGATCCGAACGAATGAAAAGTACAAAATGTAGGCAAATGCAAACAGCCTATCTAAAAATGGAACTGCATGCACTAAGACCCCAAAATGACTTATGGAACGCACTTTAATAAATTTAAATTCAATTGCTGATGTACAACTTTAAATCACAATTCACCAATTGACCAACTCTGTACAGTCTAGTTCCAATCACAATTGGACATATCTGCTCCAGCTAATTAACTATTTTAGAAGTAGTCAGCAGTTTTGGACGCAGCCTTTGATTGGCTGTATTAGATGCAATAGTGTTAGGTAAGGGAACATTAGATGCAGCACCAGGAGGAGGTTTGAAGAACACTGCTTTAAAAGACATAAATTAAGTCTGTAAATATACAAAAAGAAGTTCTTTATTTGTGCTTTAGAGTCTGTGTCTCCTCTTGCTCCCTACCTCCTGCTCACACTTCCCAAGTATATTACAAATCTGTGAGAAACACTGCTTTTACACCAGCTGCACATATATCTGGCAACAAATGTTAAAAGAAATTTGTTAATGAAAAAAAGTTAATGCTGAGTTAATCTTTAGTTACAATTTGATCTGTGCAATCTGTGTTGTTAGTTATTCCTATGCCTATATAAACTTCTGATATTAGTGGCAGCTCAAGCCAAATGTCTTGGCAAGAGGAAGAAGCTACTTGGGCTTTCACAATTACTTAAAAAGTAAATTAATTAAAATGTTCTCTGAGAATCAGCTTATTATTTTTGCAATCGTATTATTTTTTGTAAACTTAATAGATTATATATTAAGTGGAAGTTAAATTGATGTTTTATGAAATAAAACATTTTGTTTAACTAGGTCTAGGCTGAACTGCTCAGTAGCCGGTTAACAGGCTAGCAGAGTACTCCAATAATAAATGTTAGGCTTTACAGGTCGTAGCCATTCTTTATTTTTATTTACATTTTCAATACTTCTTCTGCTCTTTCGCTAATTAAGACACGGAGCTTGATTTACACAATCATGTATATGTATTTTTCCTCATATTTGTGTATTGACAGACTTCCTTTTATCTTTTTAGTGAAGTATTTCAGAATCTTTGAAAGGTTCTGCACATTATGTTACAGTTCAGTCCTGCTCATTTTTAATTATTTGGCCCTACAAACACACACACACACACACACACGTACACATGCACACACGCACACATTGAATCAATCATCAAAATAACTGGTAGACTAGTCAACAGTGACAGCCCTAGAAGCTATTAAGATGACTGAGAGATTACACAAATTCTCAGCCAAAGGGAGGCTGTGTTTCACCAGAAAGAACATCCATGTCTCTGAAATCCTCTGACATCAACTGATGGTCTTTACATTGGCTATGTGTACTTTGAACCTGACCTGATTTTTTTTTCCAATGGCAAAGCTAAAACCTTTCCAGTTGATTTTGAACTTTAAGACTTAAGAGTCATAAAGAAAACAAAAAGATTTTGCCACACCAAACAACTTACATTTACCTCCACAAACAAAATTACAGTAGACAGCTTGACAAATTTATCACTTTCTGCTTTAAAAGGCAAATCTGAGGTGTTCTAAGATTAGCCTCCTTCTTCCCTGTCCTCACTTTTCACAGCACTCATGAAACTAGGTTAACCTGCTGACATTCTGTGGGATTTCAAAACTTTACACCAGAAAACTGCATCCAAAACATACTCAATGTCTCAAAACTTGGACACTTATTGAGTGCTGAGTATGATCAGACAAGCCAAGTTCAGGGCAGTTTTAAGGTTGTTCTTTGTTGTTTTTTGTACTACTAATCCATATTAATATGGGATTATAATAATAAAGTATTAACTAGTATGGAATTATAATAATACAATATTATTACACAGACATGCTTAAATGTCACTGCAAAACTAAAATGTAGAATTGTTTGTCTACTTTGTCACAACACAGCAAACAGCTGAAGTAAAGCATGTTTTAGCTGTGTGCCACAGCACTGAAGAGCATCAGTAACACAGAAGGCACATGGTCCATTCTGGCCCAGAGATCAGCAGGGCAACATTGGAAAAAAAAGGCTGCACATTGTGTGGCCTAGAGACAACGATGCATATGTTCACATAATCACAAACAAGGTTCAGATCTAACTGATTTCAGTTACTGAAATGACAGGCAGTTTATCCTGTCACAGGATAACAAAATGAATAGGCTTGATTTTCCCAGAGGGTTTCAAACCTATTAGCCCATATGCAGAAAGACAAGTTTGTTTGATTAGCACCATAGAAACCACAAGAAAATAGAACTTGTCAAAAGAGATTACCACATAGTTATGTCTGCAGCAAATAGCAACATAACACCTCATATATAATATCTGAAGACTGGCATCTACCTATAAATTGCGTATTTATGTCAGCCATGCTTGGACTCAAAACAGTCTGAACAAAGACTGTTTTATTTCAGTCAAATCACTGTGGCAGAAAGCCAAAGGATTTCACATAGTATCGGTGTGGCCATGGCTAATACCTGATCTATGATTGTCCTTCAAAACTCAACAGATAAAATAAGCGCCAATGCTCTGCATTTTGGAGGTTCGTGCTGGAGGTTCGTGCTGGAGTTCCATTTCACTGAGAAAGTACAATGAAGCATTAGTCACGCACACAAAACAAAAACCAGTGTTCAACAATCTCCTTGCAAAAAACAAAGGAGATCACTTTAGGGAAAGTTAATATTATTTATGCATTTATTTAATTAATAAAGCCAGTGTGAGTCCCTTCCTTCATAAACCTAACAGAGTGTCAACTTCACATACAAAATGAACCAAAAAAAAGAAGGACAGAAAAATAAACAAATCTGGGACGTGGGAAGACGAGGGTGCTGAAGGAGCTGTAGCATCTCAAGATTTCAAGATTGTTTAACTGCAAAAAAGAATTTTAAAATAGTAACCCGAGTGTAGTAAAGGCATATGTATGCTTGATTTATGATGGAGTTAGTATTTTTTACATTATGCTTTATTTATATATTATTATTTTCAAACCAGGAGTAGTTATGGTGTGTTAACAAGTTAACACGTATTATTATTACAGTGAGTCAAATCGTTTCCCCTGCCAAATGTTGACTGCTTTAGGGGGCATGCCACTAAAAGACTACCAAGTCCAGAGTGAATGTTTACGTAAAGTTGCAGACTAGTTCTGAGCCCCTAGTATTGTTTTGCAAACTTTTGTAAAAATCTACTATGTCTCATGTTTTGAATACATTTTTTTCAATTATTATATCTCCCACATTCAAGTATTGAATCTCACTATGCAGTTTGACTATGGGCACGACACAATCATTTTCAATCGTTCTCATATCGACAATCTGATTGGTTGCCGCGTAACTCATTTGTATAAAGTTTACAACGAGAGAGAACAGGATGTGCATCAGTGGTTTAATGTGTCAGTTGTACCTGTATATTGTCATCTCTTGCCATTTTATAGCATGTTATGTTCTTTTTGACGTCAATTCTAAATCTAATTTGAATGAAAAAAAATGACATTTGATGGCACATACATGCTGCTTAAAATTTTGACGCCTTTAACTCAAAAAACATTCCCACTTCCCTGACACTAATAATTTTCTAATCACTGATAAGTCCCTTCAACCCATGTGTAAAATAAATGTCAGTCTACTAAGAACAAAACAGCTCTCAAACAGCTTTTATGCTTGTGGTATCTCTTATCGGAGAGAGTTTCTGAATGAGATCATGAGCATTCAAAATTACTTAACACACATTAAATTGATTTTGCTGATACCCACACATACCGTGATAACACTTGTTTCAAATCGCCTTCTACTCTCTCACACTAAGAAACAAAGCATTATTTACACAACCATTTTTATGCATATTTGCCACATATATGTGTATTTATGTGTGTGCTTTCTAAGACATCCTTTCTGTCTTTTTAGTAAAGTATGTTGGAATCTTTGAAAGTTTCTGTACAGTATGTTATAATTCTGTTATGTTCATTTGAATTATTTAGTCCTAAAACACACACACACACACACACACACACACACACACACACACACACACACAGAATACTCAATTAATCATCAAAATAAATCCCAATCTACTAAGAACAAGTCCGTTCTTCATAAAAAGCCTTTATGTAGCATGGTATGTCTCTTACCGGAGAGAGTTTCTGAATGAGGTCATGAGCAACATGCACCAGGTTCTTGTCCTCCTGTAGACTCTTCTGGAAGCGCCTGCTTTCCTCCTCCTCCAGCAGGTCAAAATCATTGGCAGCATCCAGTAATGCTTGAATCAGGCCTTTCCAGGAGCGCAGTGCTGGGACCTGGGGAGCCACGGCCGAGCTTACTCCAGTGCCAATCACCAGGACCAACTCTGGAGCACGTTTGGTTTTTAGGCTGGGTAATAACTTTCTGTAAGGAAAAGTCAGAAAATGACAGATGGGTTGGTTGGACAGGAATAAATATGTGAGAACAGTTGTGATCATGCAAAAAAAAAAGTGCACAAAGAAAACAAAACTTTAGACCTTTAGGTCTGAGTAGGTTATGTACAAACAATATCAATACCACAGAACCAACAACATTTTCTTCCTCACACCATAACATAAGCATATTGTTTTCTATGTAATTACTAATTACTACTAATAATCCTAGGACGTAATAAAAGTCTCTTAGTTTAAGAAGTTAAGCAAGACAAAAGTTATCTTTAGCCTACTAATACTGAGATCATAACCACTACTAAGCATAATGTAAGCTGATTATGAGAAACCACGTGGGAGCTTTTGGCTGAGGCAAACGCCTTGTCAAAGTTAGTTAATGAGCCATTGGACTGATTTCTTGCGGGAGGATTAACAGATCTAAACTAGTTCTTGGAATGTACGCTACTGCCACCAAAACAACATGCAGGCCTCTGCCCCAGAAATAATAATAATGCCTCAGAATAGTACAAACACCAGACCATTTCACCGCTGGCAAATATTATTACCTGGCTTTTTTAGCCACCGTTTCACCATCCTCAGAATCAGGAGCAGGTCGCTTCTCTGTCTTGACCGTCACAACAGAGGCCATTCGACTCCTACAGCAGAAATGTGTTCCAACACGTTACTAAAGAACACAAACCCTGACGTGTTCAGTACTTCTTGATGGTTAAGCCATCAAGTGCTTAAACGCTGTTACAGTTTTAGGCTGCTGCACACAAGGTTTTTGGCATGTTTTGGCAAGAATTCAATCCTACATCTATCTCAGCAGTTTAACCAGATAGCTATAGGTAAACCTAATTGCTCTTTTTCGTCAAGCCACAGAACGGAAAGAGATTACGGGAATTACGTCATCAGAGCCTTTACATCCAATCATTCCTGGAACAAGCCAGGGAAAAAAATCCAGCTGCTCCTAATGTATCAGTGTCCAGTCTAACTACGTCTACCTTACTTCTCCATGAAAAGGTGATAGAAAAACTTCTGTCTTTTCCAAATTACAGTACAGCAAGAAGTCTTTCTGTGGCAAAAATGTTACACCGGAGCTCTTGGCAGAGTATATTTGAAACCTACTCTTTATCAGCGCCCACTGTGATTTATATTATTTGGTGACGTGTACTTTCTGCGAGAATTATTCCCATACAAATAATCGGGCTCCGTTATGTCATGCAGGATTCCATGCAACTTCTACCTTAGATGTGGTTGACTTGTGGTCGTAATAAGAAGCTAGGTAGCGTGGTTTTAATTTAAGTAGTTAAGATACACGGGCTTAAGTAGCTTTATAGTTATCTAGCTAATTAACAGGTTACCACTTGAGTTACGCTCTTGAATCTTGCAAATGAAATAAAGAGCAGCGAACTCTTAGACACACTTTAGGCTGTTAAGTTAGCCACCCGTTAACAGATCTCCGGAGACAGTGGCTAAGCTATCTAATAACCAAGCTAATGTCATCCAACGTAGCTGACAAACCACCTGTTGTGGGCTTGTACTGACCCTGAGCTACGTGGAAAAAGTCAACGCAGTTAGCCTTACTGCCTCTACCACATGAATCAATAATCTAAGTGACTACGCCCTATCACTGGCAAACAATTACAGCAAGTGTTACATAGTTATATAGTTAGCCAGACGAAGGCAAGGGAGCTAATAAGCTAACAAAACCATGCTAGCTAAAAGACAATAGGTAACTTAGAGACACAGCTGGCCGCAAAGAGGAGAGGTTGGCATCATTTGTTTACAGACAACACCAAAGATGATTAATTAGGTAGCTAATGTAACGTTACTTTTCTGAAACTTTAAGCAAGTGTCAAGCTTCGCTTACCCAGATGAAAAAAACTTAATTCCCGTATTCTTTGAACTTCAGTTGAATAAAAATCCTTATCTGATATATGAGTCAGCTGAAGAAAAAACACATTTTGTCGTTCAACACGGAATTGTGCTCGCATTACGTTTGCATTATTGGTGCGACTCTCAACAAACGCTGATTTTGGGTCCTGCCTAGCTAGCTACTAAAGGATAACTTGCCAGCGAATCCTCGTACCTGTTCGCTTATATCTGCCCACGCATTGTATGGGAATAACCGTTTTGAAGTCACGTTAACTTAAGCGTAACGGATTTGTCTAACTAAATTAAAATAAGATGATTAAATCACCCCACTGTAAATTCTAGCTGCATCATCTGTTTCCTAGTCACACTCAGTTATTAAGCGAACAGCGACTTAAACAGACCCTAAATTTTAAACTCCACCTTCCTTCCTTGGACAAGCTCTCGTGGTTTAGAAAGAGAGGAGGGAGGGGAATACATTGGTTAGAAGTGTTATTTAGTAATTATACCAGAGCTCATATCGTTCAAAAGCGATTTGTGATACACAGTTCCAGTCAACGCAAAATAAGTCTTTTTTGCAGACAGATCAAAGCAAGAGACAGGAAAAATCAACAGATGGTGAGATTCAAATCTGAAAACCAGACTTTGCAAATGTTCACATGCTCCTTATATAACAGGACAGCGTCACTAAAGCCAGACAATGTCCCCATTTAACTGGCAAGACGTAATGTTGCCCCCCGCCACCCCCCAATAAACTAGTTAATAGTAGGCAGTAGACCATTTTGGACATGACACGGTGTACCCATGTGAAATGAGGCAGCAGTAGGTTTATGGCTCCCTTACATGCTGACAGTTGTGCATACCTGGGGATCTAGTCAGTTTGTTAGGCTGATTTAACCCGTTGTTCAAACAGGATAAGGTTGACGGCTCTGCAAATTGCACATCATTAAGTACCCTGTTTTGCCACCGAACTAAAATGGCACCTAGTTTCCCCTTGAGTGGACAGAATCCACAAGTCTAGAAATGTCGGACTCCTAAAAACTCTTAAAACCTCTTTCCACCCCTCCTCTAGCACCACTGTAGTGCTTCATCCTCGATGACCTTTATGGCTAAAATATTCCTACACGTCCATCATATATCATAACAGCTTGCTTACATTGTCTTCTGTCTCCTCCCCTCCTGTCTTGCCAGACGAACAGAGATCCCAGTCATATTTATTAAACGTTTTCAGAGTTCAGACTGCTCACTCAGGATCTTGAATATAGACATGGAGCCTATAGGTGGAGCTGCTTTTTGACGGCTACTCAAATATCTTTGATTTTAAAATACAGAGCAGTAGTGTCTAATTAGTTGTGAGTAAAATGCAATGCAAGAAAATATGTCAATGATAGTCATTTACTCAGTCCATCAGTTTTGGGTCATGCATTTCCTTAGAACACTTCATTTAAATATCCTCTTACATCCTTTCAGAGGTTATCAGTTGGGAGACACCATGAGTATAATCATGTAAAATTCTGTCCACAAATTTACCATGCACACATTCAAGAAAAGAATGCAGTAACAATAGGTCTTCCATGTTCCACTGATAAACACTGATAAACATTTCTCAAAAAAATACTTTTTTAATGATTCCCCAAATTAAAGATTAGTGTCAAACAGGTTTATACAGGTTTCTTGCATCAATAAATGTTAAGGCATCTGCCCATCTCTTGTTTCAACTGTGAAAGCGATTTTAATCAAATTTGAATAAAGGAAGATCTATATCCATGTTTGTAGAAGACTAATGCTTGTTTTAAAAATGTGACAGCCAGGTGGTGTATTGCAACAGGAAAGATTTAATTAGTGAGTAGTGCAATCTTCAGATATCCAACTTCAACAAAACTTTAGTAATGTACTGTTTTCTAAACAAGATGAGTTTTTTCATTTAGCAATTAGGAGCTCCCTATTTTAGATACAGAATTCAGTTCCACTCCTTGTCAACATATTTTTAAAAATGTGACCAATCATAGCTACAGGTTTAATATTTTGATTATGCTGGTTTAATAATTTATTACAGATCCCTTCACAATGAAGTGCTGAAAAGTGTACTCTTGTAGTCATTAGTCATCAGGATACAGCAGGCAACTTTTACCACTTTCAGGTCATTTAAACATAAAGGTAAAAAGTAACCATTCAAGTACTTTTTCCTTCACAAAAGCTCCAAAACAATAATAAAAAAATAGAAAAAAAGGCAAGAAAAAGTATTATTTTTAGGACCTTGGTTTTGATTTGCGCTGAGAACTGAGCAGACTTTGCAACCTCCATCATCTTCCCTGTCTATTCATGCCTTTAACACTTTAAGGCTTTGGGGATTCTAGGAAGAGCACTGCACTCTCTACACAGATATTGAACCATCCCTGAAGTTGGTTTTCCCTATGAGAACATTAAGCAGCACTGCCTTGCCCCCTCTACATTCCCTCTGTGCCTGTTTTACAATTTTATCAAACTGCGACTCATCCTCACGCCCAATGAGGTGACCTTTGCCACCAAAGCCATCAGCAACAATGTGGTAATCTGTACAGAAAAGCAAAAACAAAACAGAAAACACTTTCAGATAATTCCTTCCATAAACAATGTCTGTACACAGTGTACTACTAACCTTATTAAAATCAAAAGGTTCAAAGAAAGATTTGCGATTACTTTTTACTAGATTTCTCCAATATGTGCCTACCCCAAGAGAACTGGATTACTGGGCTGGCTATAGTTTGTGTGCTTTTCTAATGAAAATAATCATCTGAACTAATAAGTACTGGCAGGCCAGACCAAATACACTTTTTTAAGGTTGTAATAAGGAAACATTTTTTTAAAGAACTTTTTTTACAACTTGTTGAGCAATCATAATGTGACATGTTTATGTTTTACTGAATCACTACAGTGAAAATAACACTGTAGAGGCACTGTACTGGTATAATCATCCACTCATAAAAAAGTCAGATAATAAATAATGTAACTTTTAATAAAACATTTCACCTGTAAAGGCAAGACCACAGGCTACATTGCTGCCCAGAAGGGGGACTTGTTCCCTGGAGATCTGACTCCAACAAGCATCATTTCCAACTAGTGCAATTACAGGTGTCTGGCAAGGGAGAGCAAGACAGTTATGTTGTAAAAATAGCATTCATAGTCTATTGTTATTATGAAATGGACCAATGTCTGCATAAAGATGTGGCAAGTATCAGTGTCATATTACTTAAAAGCCTACGTTTACTGAACTTTTAGCAGTCAGTTCTGAATTGTTAAGTAGTTTATTTATCTATTAAATTTCTTAAGTAGATAAAAGCTTTTTTTGAGCAAATGTGTGGTTTGTGTTGTTGCTAACAGTGTAATGCTGTGGTTCATACCTTGTGTCTGGTGAAAGTATCAAATTCTGCCACGGTGTAACCTAAGGAACCATCACCATAAACAATCCATACCTGTGGATGAGACAGTGTTAGTTTCTGAAAAAGAACGTTTGAAAACACAATAAAGTAGGTTTCACATTATCAAGAATCATAGATCATGGAGGAAGTCAGTGAGGATCAATATTGAAAACTGCTGAAACGCTGAAGTGAGTTTAGTATTGTTTATGTGTTACCTCTGAATCAGGACGACAAAGCTTTGCTCCGAGGGCAAACCCTCCTCCAACGCCTAGAGTTCCAAAAGCCCCTGTAAAAGACAGTAGCCTGTGTTCATGCAAGAAAAAGAAATTCTGTTTTCATGCTATAAGCATGTGAGCAACTGTAATTGTAATGGGTTCGCGACAATGAAAACATGCCATGATAAGTGATGCGTTTGCAATCAGTGATATTACAAACTTCAATTCCAAAAAAGCTGGGACAGTATATGAAATGCTTACAGTAACAAAAGGCACCTTTCCTTTAACAACATCTAATATTCATTTGGGGCAGAAGACGCCAATTGGTCCAGTTATACAAGTCTTAAGCTGTGCAACTGTATGGGGCCTTTGATAATGCATTTTGCGCTTCATAATGTGCTGTAGGTTTTCAGTGGGAGAGAAGGCTGGACTGCAGTCAGTCCAGTCTAGCACCCGCACTATCGAATTTCACAACCACGCTGTTGTAACACACGCATAATATGGCTTGGCGTTGTCATGCTGAAATAAGCATGTCCCTGAAAAAGATGTTCTCTGGAAGTTAGCATATAATGCTCCAAAATATTAAGATCTTTCAGCATTAATGGTGCCTTTACAGATGTGGCAGTTTCCCATGCCATAGGCCCTAATACATCTCCATACCATGACACCATGACACATGACGCTTTTGAATTTTACACTGGGAACAATCTGGTGGTCTTTATCTTCTTTGGCCAGAAGAACATCCATTATTTCCATGAACATCTGAAAGTTTGACTTGTTAGACCACAATACACATTTCCACTGTGCATCAGTCCATTTCAGATGAGCTTGAGTCCAGAGAAGTCGGTAGCGTTTCTGGACAGTTGAAATACCCCAAATCCTTCCTATTGTTTCTTGCTTGTTGAGGAATGTTGTTCTTAAACTGCTGGATTATTCACTGACGCATTTTTTGACAAAGTGGCAAGCCTCGACCCATCCATGCTCATAAAAGAATAGGCCTTTCCTGGATATTCCTTTTATGCAATATAATCTTTGAACATTCCTCATTTTAACCTGCCCCTGGGACAAACTTTTCTGGAATGAGTTGCATGCTTCAATTTCAGAATAATTCAATTTGAGAATGTATTTACAAAAATCAATTACGTCAATAAGGTGACATAAAATGTCTTTTTTTGCTTAAACACAGGTCAAAGTGGATTTAGAAATCACTGCTTTCTGTTTTTGTGCCAACTTTTTAAGAAGTTGAGGTTTTCTATGTTACTAAGAAAATATTTAAATGCAATTACTTACAGCCGTGCTTTGCAGCCCTGGTCATGGAACACCCCCTGCCCTGCACATTTTACTATTTTTGTTTTTACTCCCAACCAAGGTTGGGTAGTAATGGAAAAGCTGTAATGGCAATACGTATTCAGAATACAAAAAAAATAAATAAATAACTGCAATCTGTTACAGTTACAGCAAAAAAGACAAATGCCAACTTGTTGTCTTTCACCAAAATTCATTGTGTTAATGATAAATAAGTCACATGAGTCTTGTAAATTTTCAGTTTTTAATTTGGGGGAAGGGGGAGTCAGGGCTGCTGTCAGGAGGGAATTCTGAAGACTTCCCCATCCAGCAGCATTTCATGGTGTTTTATTCAGCCAGTCTATAGACTTTTTATAAGTATTTTTTTCTCTTGGCAGAACTGATCTGCAGCATTTTCCTGAAGATATTTATTTTATTCTCATTTGTTGCTCTGTAAAATTTTGAAAACCTTAACCTAACAGGTTTTACCTAACAGTCTGTAAGGTAAGAAGAGAGTGAATTAAGTCTTGTAAGTGGCAAAGTTGGTTTCATTTTCACTTGTATGATTTCTTTCATTGGTAGTTTTCGAATGATCTATGAAAATATTAACATGTGTAAATTAATTATTTGTAACCAAGACGATCAACTCCCACTTAATTCCTATTTTAATGCATATTTAAACTCATAGGATTTCTGTGGACTGAAACCACAGAGAGCTGATTAAGTAGCGTCTAAAAATTACGATCATCAAAGTCCGAGCATGACGTACCAACATGAAACCTAATGAGCCAGTACTGCCATTTAGCAGACAGAACACAAATGATGGCCAGTCAGGGTTTTTAGAATGGCCTTTATTTACGGTTACTGTTGATGAAGGTTCTATTTTGCATTTGATCCAATGTACTGGATCATTCTACATCAATTACTTCTTCCCCTGTGTTTTAGTCTCAGAGCTTTTAGTCTAAGTGTACTGATGTAAAATTTTCCCAAGCGAAGCTTGTTTTCTGATCTTCAAGGTTTGAGTATTCATGTCTACAAATTGTAGTTATTCAGATCTCTAATCAGTTATCTTTATATTTTAAACATTTTCATATATTAGGTTTGGCCGTTTCACTAAAAGCGAGATCAGTAATCAGATAACATTTTTTTAATATAGTAATCCTTTGGATTAGGTTACAGTTAGGGTTTTTAACACGCAATCAGTAATCTGTAACAGTATACACACCGGATCCCACTAATCTGCTAATTAACAAGCCCTTCCTGAGATGAAGTTGGTGTGTCAGAGCTAGAGAACCAACAAAAATGTGCAAAGCAGGTGGGGTACTCGAGTATCAGGGTACAGAAGCTGTAACAAAACATATTGGTAAACACCTTATAGTTAATTATTGGCACAATTGGTAGATATGAGTAAAGAAGGCTCTCAAGATGGCTTTCACTAAAAATATTAAAGAAATCAACTTTCACTGAGCCACAATAATTCAAAGGTGGAAAAATCAATTTAAAAAAGGCATTAGAATCCGTGGCACCCCTGCATTCAGTACTCTGCGCATCTTCACTTTGTCAAGATAACAGCACTAAATCCGATCAAGTGAGATGAAGAAGGAGAACATAAACATGAATCTTAGATACTACACATACCATTGAGACACAACAACTCCATACGATTCAAAGTCTAATAGTTTTCAAGCAGGTTTAGGTCAGGGGACTGAAATGACCTTGTCAAAAGCTTGATTCTGTGGTTAATGAATTTGGAGGTATGCTTTGCATTACTGTCCTCCAAGAAGATTCAACCATGACCCAATCTGGGCCTCCTGGTAGTGGCAGCTGGATTTCGATAAAAATGAGTCCACAATGCATGTATAGCCAGTACCAAAGTTGACGATGGGACTTCCCAAATCTAAAGTCTTATGTTTGAGGTCTGATTACAGCACAGGCTTTCAGATAGTTTGTTCGCATGGCAGTGGTGTCTAATTGAAGTTCTGAAGTTTCCCTGATCTTTTATATGTTGATAAATGACACAGACCCTATCCCTGTGAAAATCTTCCAAAAGTCAGAAGCAAATGAGGTATTATAGAAGCAAAAAAAATATAATCAGCAAAAGTGGCAAAAATTGAAAAAAATGAAAGCAAAGACTGGCAAAATTATTTTATATCAAAATGAGTGAAAATGAGTAATAATGAGTAGTTTAACTCACATTATGTGTATTTGCAACATATGTTGGACATTCTGATACTTAACATTGTGCTTGTGAATTGCACTGAGAAGAAGAAAATGGATCACTGGCAGAAGTCTCTCCATTCACATTTTAATGTTGCCCAGTGCCTTTAGTCATTAGCCTATGTATGCAGTGCTAAAAAAAGGTATTACTGGTGAACTGCTAGGCTTGTCACGGTAGTAAAGCCCCAGAATCAGTTTGAACTACATAAGTTGGTGGGCTGAACAAAGGCAGCCTCAGTCCACACATTCTACAACAGACTACAGGACAATGCGGTTTAAAATCACACCTTTTATGTATATTCATACGGATGTAGAATTATGCATGTCCAGTTCTATCTAATGTAAAAATCTAACGTATTCATTTGCAGCACATAGAAGTATTTCTTTATTTTTATCCACTGTGCTAACACTACAGGTGGATGATTTAGGTCCAGCAACCTGTAGAGCATATAATATACTGAGGTAAACCATGAGGTATTATGAAGTCCACTTTATCATACAGGTTCCAAGGGTTGACAAATTATCAAACCTATTCTGTTATTATAGTATGTTATGTCACTGTTACCCCTTTTCTGACCTGGGTCCAGCCAGCGGAGTGGCCCTCGTGGTTTCAAGATGTAGGCAGCACTGCCTACAAAGTCTCCTCCATCTGCAACAATGATGCTGTCCTCTGACATTAGCTCATCTACACGGTGCAGGACTTTCAAAGGGTTCAGGTGCCTCTCAGTCTTTTCTTCTGCCTTAGCTCTACCACAGATATACAAGTGAACATCATGAAAAATAAACAGACAAATAGTAGATGGACAGGTTTGACAAACAAAACAAATGACTATGACAAGAGCAGAGAACTGAGGCAGTTTCAGAATAACAAATTTAACTGACTGTGAACATCTATGACAGATAATATAAATGTGGGAACTAGATCATATAGCGATTCTTTTTTTTTTTGTTTTACCTGTTAGCCTTCTCTTTGACCTTGTCACCATCTTTCAGATTCTGAGGCCAATCCTCAGAAAACCTATGTCCTGCCAAGCCCCTTGACAGACGGCCCAAGAAGGAACCAACGTCACCTGAACAAGTGGTGAGTGAATGTCATTTATCTATGATATCACATAACAAATAGAACAAACTATCAGTTTGTTAAAACACTGAGTTATATGCTTATCGGTTAAGGTAAACGTAGGTTTTGCAGGCATGCTTAACAAAGGTAATTTATTTATTTTTTTATTATTATTATATTTTTTTTCTACAGTTTTTCCATTCCAATCAATTAGGGATGGTGGTGGGTTGATCCAAAGTGTTGTGTTAACATTACCCTGAATAGACACTGTGGGTTTCCAGAAGATGTCAGAGTTTTTCAGTAGCTGAGTCTTGTCCCGGTTGACTGCAATAATTATACTGCGCCTGTTTAGCACCCTGCCGTAACTCAATCTGAAGTCACACACTGTGCCTATCAAACAAGCAAATTCAACGAATTCAAAGTAGGCTCATAAGTACCAAGGATTCAAATAACTGTGGAAGGCAACATACATGTACAAATTCATAGTTCAATGCACTGAATTCTGGACATTCCACAAATTAAGTCTTAAAACACTCCCTGTGTCTCTTACTTGGTGTTACTTACCTGCTAGCAGCACCAAATCAGCCTCTTTGAGGGCATCTCTTCTGTTCTGTCTGATATGCAGAGGACTGTCCTTACCAAGCATCCCTCGAGACATCCCACCCAGAAAGCAAGGAATGCTTAGAGACTCCAGGGCTTTCCTGGCAAAGAAACCCATTTAACACAGATTTTAACTACCTTTTTAACCAATGCCTTATCTCCAACTTCCCAAATGATCCCATACTGCACAAACATTGTGTCTTGCATGCTTTCATTAAGTGCATCATTTTGTGCATGTTATTTAGCATCTCAAAAGCTGACCGTCAATGACTGAAGGAGATAGCTATAGCCATCTCTTACAGCCTCTGAAACTAGCTAACATCAACTTGGGTAGTTAGCCTAGTTAATGATATAGCAACACTATTTATGCCTTCTCAGTCACATTTTTAACAACGCGCTCGTGTTTCATAGTAGCAAAGTATAACACAACATACTTACTTGCAAATTCTAGCAACACTGTCACAGTTCACTGAATTGTTAGCTTGTGACTTTTTTCTGTCTTCTCGCAGTGAAACAACTACTTGAAAAATGATGTCAGTATTTAAATACTAGTACCTTAAACTGTTAACCAAGTACTTGTGTTCACTAAAACTATGAATGATAGGAACTATTAATGCAATGTCATTGGTTAATTTGTGTGTGTGTGTGTTCAGTGGATGGTGATGTTTACCTCACAGACAAATCCAAAGCTGATATTCTTTATTATTTGTTTTAGCCTTTGGAAATGGGTTGAAAACAACACGCTCTACTCGGTCTGCATATTGAGTGTCTTTAAAAAGTTTGTGTAGAGACACTGCTTGCAATATCATTCACAGGAAACACTGGTGCACTGCAAGGAGGGCTATGAAATTAGACATGGCTCAGAACTGCCCTGAAGAAGGAGAGGCAATTATGCATTGATGATATGAGAAGCCAAAGGAATTAAGTACATACCCAGACATTACAGCGCAATTTTGCAAGACCTGTAATTTTTTCTTATAGCTTACTTTATTAACAATGTTGGCAAATTTTAAGGTAGGGAAATTTAACCTTGTAGCACTAAGCTTGCAAAGTATGGTAGCATATTAGTATCAAAATTAAAATTAAACTGTAATATGTAAATTGGCAATGTATCTGTATGTTTGCATTTAAATTTCTACTCATACATGCAATGTTAAGCTCAAAATGAAATTTCAAATTTCATACTGCGATTTTAATTTGCCATTTGGTGCACTAGTATTGACATTACATTTACACAAAGATTTGTACGATGTATGTGAAGCTTTATTTAAATTAAATTTCCAGAACTGTAATAATGCATTTAAATTGCATTATCAAAGAAAACACCAAGCTAGAAAAAGGGCAGAATTCAAATGTAAACGAGAAACAGCGCCTATCCTCTTTGCAATTACATATTCTCGCCTACTGCGCTCATTTTGTGTCAAAATGCCTTTGAAAATGCATTAAACTGTATTTTCATTTTCACGGTTTTCCCAACCTGTCAATCATACGGGCAGGGCTGGGCCAACAGCGTGCTCAGAGAACAAGGCTTTATCTAAAAACATGGCGGCCAAAAAGTTTATAGCTACTCTTAAGTTAGCAGAAGAGATGAAGAGGAGAAATATAGCCACTTGTGATGCTTAGGCTACATTAACATTACAAGCCGCATTGATCAAACCTGATTTTTTGCTTAAATCCGATCTCTCTGACACGATGGTTTATACTCGTTTATATAAGTGATTCAAATCTGTCAATAATGTGAACGAATCGGCATCCTGAAAGGACCCGCATGCACAAATCCTACTCAGCTGCCATGGTAACGCTGAATGATGGCGTACGCACAGTGGAAAAAAGCACATGAATTCCGATCTGAGCATTCACATTAAGGTCGCATGTCCGTGAATCAGATACGTATCCGATCTAGGATCACATATGAAAGTGGCTCAGGTTGGATTTGAAAAGATCAGATTTGCGTGTGCACACAGCCCTGAAAACATTAGATCTGAGTCACATCAGGGCAAAAAATCGTATTTGGGCCACTTCAACCTGGTAATGTAAACGTAGCCTTGGCTTCCTTCTCGCCAGCTTCTTTTTCAGATTTTCTGGTTCGTCTTAAAGAGTGTGGCAGTTACATTCTGGTGCCTCAATGTGGCCAAATGTTGCAACAGCACTATTTTAGGTGGATTGGAAACTTCAAAAAAGAAGCCAACTTGAGCCTAGTTTCATAAACTGAGAACAGTGGCTGAAACTGAGGCTGGACATAGAGATTCCAGCTGATGTCATGCAGGAATATCATCTACAAAGTAAACATCAGAGGTGGATACATTGCCTTCACTGGTAAAGTGCTACGTGAATTGTTGAGGAATGTAAAATTAAGCTAGCTAAAAGCATTGTTAATGCTAGCTAATGCCACATTCCCAGACAAAGCCCCCATCTGCTGATTTTTACCAGCTGGCTAACATGATCCAGCTTACTGTGCCACACACATATACCTGCAATTTGTGTGATATTAATTTGTAAATAAGGAAAGCAGGACATCAGAGACCCCCTAGCTGATTTAGGCTAAAATATGACATGGTACCGACACCGTACAGCGGCTGTGGCCAACTCAGCCACTGTGACAAGGTGGTTGTGTGATTTACACATGTCTATGAATACCAGAACAATTACAACTAAATAATTTTATGATACATTTTTGGTATCAGATAAAGTGGAACACAGCAATACATCCACATCTGATGCTCACAATGTAAGTTAAGTTAGAAAATAGCCCACAGTGCTGGAGTCATCACTATCTGCTGCATCTGTAGCCTATAGGGTCGGCTAACATGGACAATAATATTGACCAGCTGATTAAAGAATATGTAATTACAGAGAGGAGAACCGTTGTTTCCCATTTACATTTAAATTTTTGCCATCTTTCTAGCTTGGTGTTCTCTTTGATAATGCATTTAAATTCATTACTAAACAGAGAAAATGCATATAAGATAAATTACATTTTAATTATCATTTTGACACAATTATTGCATAATCACACTAACCAGAAACAATCTAAAGCTTTGTGTAAATGCAATACTAGTGCACCAAATGGCAAATTAAAGTATTAAAGTACTGAATTTTAATTTTCCTTTTGCGTTCAACATTGCATAAATGAGTGGGAAATTTAAATGCCTACAAGTACATTGCCATTTTACATATTACATTTTCATTTTAATTTCGATAGTGACATGCTTCCATAGTGAACAGCCTGTAAATAAGTTCATCCAATCTGAAGCAACTAAACACCCATGTGGCACTCAAGTCTCAAAGTAGAAAAAGTAAATATGTTGGTCTTCTTGGCCTGCATATTGCAATTTAAAGTGGAGTTACACTAACCTTACCCTAGCTGTTATAACTTCTTGTAGGTAAACTGACAGCTATATTCTAGAGCTATTAAATAACAGACAAAAAACAGTAAAAATCCAGAGCCTGTGTGTGTGTGTGTGTGTGTCTGTGTGTGTGTGTGTGTGTGTGAGAGAGAGAGAGAGAAGGAGAGAGAGAGAGAGGGAGGGAGGGAGAGAGGGAGAGAGGGAGAGAGAGAGAAATTGTGTCACAAACACAGCTGCCAGTTAGAACAGCTTTTCAAACCTGCTATTTTGTTGCTGTTTATGCTTAGAGTGAATTGATTTGTATTTTTATTCCATTTCTGAGCCTTGGTGAAAATAACATTATTGATTCTTCACAGTGAAAACTTTGTGTGAAACACTGAATACCACTGTATTCGTATTTTTGATGGCATTTTTTAAATGTGGACCTAATGTTCTTTTTTGCCTGTTCCACCATCTCAAACCTCTAATAAATTAAATATCATGGTAGATATTGTGGATTATAAAAACATCTTGAAGTATTGCGATGTTCTATTTTTGCCATATTTGACCACCCCTGATTGAAACAATAAACTAAGTAACATTTGCCACCGGAGTTGTTTCAACATGGCCTTAACTCCACAAAAACCTACCTGATGTCATCAGCAGATGTTGGAGGTAATGTCACCTGGCTACCTAACAGGATCAGTGGCTTCTTAGCCCTGCTCACCAGCTCCACACACCTTTGAACCTGAGGAAGGGAGAAATGTCAAAGGGTCAGTGCACTGAATAAATGCATTAGATGAAGTGTTCAGCTGTATTCAGTTAACAGTCACTGAATACATTAAAGAATAAATGCCTTCTGTCACCTCAGTGTTGCTTCAGTTCTGCACATGTGCAAAAGAAAATAACTTTTCAAACAAGAAGGTAGCAGTAATCTGTACTGGTACTCAAAAAAAGTGTAACATGACCCTTCCATTTCAACACTTTTTTTAACAAGGAAACTTTAAGGTTCATTTCATTATTATATTAGCATACTTGAGGTTTATTAGATCAGGTCCAGGGAACACAAGTGTCAACTTCAGCAGCAGAACTTGCCCAGAAATCATTGCAACCTGATGCCCTTCCATTTTCAAACCCCCAAAAAATAGGACAAGCAGTTTATCAACCATAGCATAAACACCATATCACATTTCATGTAATTTACAAGGTTCTATGGTAAGCTTTTGCCAAGTAGCACTGGTGATCCATATTTGAAATAGACACATATTTGAAAGAGCACCTAGAAAAGTCTGTGAGCACAAACGAAAAACAGAAGAGAGTAAGAAACTACAGAACCACCCCCCTACCCCATCCCACTAACAACAAGAGACAGCTTGCTAGACATAATGGTGGACATTCTAGACATTCCATTCAAAAACAAACACATATAAAAACTTTTTTTTTTTTTATTCCTTCTATCATTCAGACAGGATATTTAATTCAGCAATCACATTTTCCCTAGTACACTGTCCAAGCCCTTACCTTTACAATGCCTGAGCAGCATTAGGCGCTATCATTTTCAGTAATTCAGTATTTATTATGTTCTTTTCTTGCAGTTTCATTCATTCCATTTGTCTTCCTCTCTTTTATCTAATGTCATTGTACCAGCACTTATTGTTATTTAGGCCTGCAAACCTATTTGCTGGACAGCTATTTCTTATAGTCTTGATACTTTCACATTTACTTAAATTATAATATAACGCAATTTTTGGTTAATTAGAGCCTAGTTAGTTAATAAGAATCTGCTATTATTGGTGAACTGAGCTAACTGATCTGATCCTGCACTAGTGTAAAGGCTGCTTTCCACTGTATTTTATATTGACTAATAATGCTGACAAGTAAGTAGTAAATACTGTAAAATACTGTACTCAAGTAAATACTGGCTGATGCCCCTGCTGAAAAAAAAAAAATCATAGAAAAGACAAAGTTTCTGTTGGTTCCTGATCATCGTCATTAATGGCATAATGGTTTTCCTGATGGGTTGATATTCCTAAAGGTATTCTAATGGTTTAACATGTGTTCTGGAACTGATTCCAGATGTATTTAATGGCTTCCTAAGGGGATCTAAAAGTATCCTACAGGTAAATAATAGTTTCTAATGGTAATCATTAAGATCTATTCACATTAAAAAGCAAAACCATCAGACTTTAATCCTAATGGTTCTAATGGTCTATTTTTCAGCAGTGGCAACTGTGTGATGCAGAGTAAAATTCTTAAGTAAAACTTTATAACTCCTGAGATTTACATTCACTGCTGCGAGACCACAGCAATGGCAAAATGCACAAGTGTTATGGAAAAACAGTCGTTCTTAACTAAACTGTGAGACTGGACGGCTATGCAGGTAAGTTATTTGGCAGGTTAGTCTGGCTTCCTGTGACACGTGCAATGAGCCAGTGAGTTAATTTTCTTGTCATGCCCAGTAAATATAGTAGTATCTGAGGCCAGTGGCATGCAACACTGAAAAAAACTGTTTATATTGAAGCACAATGTAGACTATTGAGGTCAAAATCTCACACAACAGCACATAATTAAATTTAAGAGCAATCACAAGTATTTTACTCACACTGTAGAATGCTGAACATATTTCTTAATATATCAAAACCATAACATATAATTAGCTATGTTCAGAATGGGGTTTAGGTAGCAAACTACTCCATCTGTTAAACGTAACTGCTGATATAACTTCATTACTTCACTCCAGGGTACATGTCTAGCAACAGCAAAAAAGAAAGACAATACATCATGGTTCTAAACCAAAGTTTATAGCTAAACAAAGCAGTTACTCACAAGTTTTATGTATGTTATGTTCCGACTTCTCAAAAAACATTTTGCGTGGCTAGTTAATTAGCTCACTGGGGCTGACACACTTCTGAGTGGCAAGGTGAAGGTAGTGAGGGAATGTTAAATAAAACTATTGAAACAGGACCCCAGTATTTTGGCACCATGTGCACTGATTTGCTAGACTTCACAGCCAATCAGAGAATGCTCTCTTAATGCCAGCCTTTAACACGGATTCAATATGGTCAGATGAACAAGCGCTAACAAAGGCAGACTAGTGCCAAAGATGCACCGCAAAAATTACAGGCAAGAGATGGCCAAAGACACTTAATGACAGATTGATTATAGGCTTGCTTAGTCAGGGCTCCTATATATTCTACACTATCAATGACTTATGATGTGCATTAAATTTTGTTGAAAACATCCCCTCTGAAACATAAAGCTTTGAAGAGGCTAGCCTCACCTCTTGGTCTGTGGCTTGAGGTACATGAACAGGCAAAGGGGAAATGTCCCTCACTTCCCACGCTCCAGCAAACAGGTTTGTTAGATGGTTGTGAAGATACCTATGAGGAGACAAAATTCAAGTGGTTCACTCTAGGAAGTATGTTGTCGGATTTACATTAATCAATAAATCTATCATTCCAAACACTGGATTAAACAAAATAAAAAACTAAGAGGCAGAGGAGCTATTTTGTCAGAACAGGAATGAAAGTAGGCTTAAAACATTTCAGCATTTAAAAAAGATGCTTTAAAATCACATTAAACTGTTCAGTTTTTCAAATTTTACATTATTTTATTTATTTATTTGTTTATTTATTGATTGATTGACCAGTAATGCTGTGTAATGTTTTAGATGTTCTCTTACCATGCAGTAATTTTTCCCATTATTCCTTTTGGAGTGCCTTTAGGAGAAAACTCTTTCTCCACCACATGATAAGGAAAGAGAGTGTCTATAGGAAACTCAATAAATACAGGGCCTAAAAAAAATCAATTCCGTTTCAGGTCATCTTGCACAATGCTGTACATCACATGCACACAAAAACAACACCCCATGTATTTACCTTCCGCCATAATAGAATGTAATTTCAAGGTTATTATAGTCCAGTTGCTGCTTACCTGGGGTGCCAGACTGGGCAATGGCCAAAGCTTTTCTTAAAGTAGGAACAATCTCCCTCACACTCCTCACAGATGCACAGAATTTACAGAGTGGCTTGAAAAGAGACAACTGGTCAATATCCTGCAGAGCACCCCGACCCTGCACACAAACAACACACTACAACACTGAAACAGAACTTAGTGCCTCTAACATATTCCATTCTCTCTCATCTCAAACTCAAAATATTAATATTCCATTTATTTTCACTGTAATAATGTTTAAAATAAGCAAAGGCAGAAGGTAGGTAGTAGGTAGGTTGCGTTGCAGTATTTAACAAAACAAAACGATAATCAGATTTCCGCTAACATCTCTATGTAAACAACCAGTGTTGAGGTAGTTACTTAAAAAAAAAAGTAATCCATTACAAGGTACTAATTGCTTCTCTCAAAATGTAAATGTATAACTTTATTCTCTACTGAATTATTTTTACCCAAAAAGTCATAACTTCTGAGTTACTTACAAACCCATAAACATTTATGCCAACCTGAAAGTACGAAGGTCGCCAAATAGTCCTTTCAGTAACTATCACAGTAAATATCATTCTTGCTTATGAACAGCACACCAGAGAAAGTGTAGAGGGGAACTGCCACTCAGTAATGTCTTATGGGTTTGTCAAATGCCAGAGGTCGTTTATGAGCAAGTCCAAAATATGGAGCGTTTGCTTAAAATCAGTTTGTAAATGCCTAAACATTTTTTTAAATAGAAGAATGCATTCATTTCCTGAACACAGAACAGCATAAGACCTTTGAACACTGCTATTATATTCTTGAGTGCTTTTGAACTCAATTTATCGGACTTTAAAACTGTGCCTCATGCATATTCATGAGGTCAGTGAGCACAAACCGCTTCAATCAGCCAATGAGCTGATCAGCTTGCCAATCAGCTCTTAGCAGCAGAAATGCTAGTTTTAGTGAAATATGTTTTAGTGAAATGCATCTTTCTACTTTCCAATATTAAAAGAAGTTCCAGATTAAACAGTATTATTTTAAACTCATTTTTTACGGTTTTAGCCGCTTAGTTCCATTCACCCCCATGCTATTTAAAATCTAGCCAATAGAAATGGTCCAAAAACAGCTGCCTCGAAATAAAATCTTCATGAATGAAAAGTATAGCTTACTTACCTTTTGAATGAAAATCAAGTATGGCCTAAGAGGAGAACTCTCTTCTTCAGCATAGGGATCTTTATCAATCAGTTGCATATTAACATGACTAGATGCTTTAACAAACTACTCTTTGAGTTTCGCTTCCCATCCTTGCGCTACTCATATACACAACCAAAGTCACATAGTCAGCTGTTGCAGGAAGTGCATGAGTACATGAGGATTACATGACAGGCACAGGTAAGCTACATAGTTGAAATATGTTTTAAATGCATTGTGCATAATTAATATTGCTCTGTAAAGAACATATGAGTAACACAAGTGATTTTAATCTTTGAATTTAGGAAACTGGAATCTATTGTACCACTTCATTACAGGAAAATGTAATAACATTGCTGTAATGTTTTACATTGCACCATGTCCCCCACAACACTAAAAAAAAAGTAAAAATAATATCTACGTGAGCATCTGAAAAATTATTTTGTTGGACTGTGAATTTCATTATTCCTGTCAGTAGGGGTATAACAATATACAAAATTCATAATCTGATTCACTGCCATGCAGTGATGTCTCAATTCGATACATTTTCCAATACAGCAAAAATAAAGACTGGATGAAAATGTGCCTCATATTAATATGTTAATGTTTCCATTTTCAGTTTATTAGAGCATTTAACATTAAAAAAATACAATATTTGAAACATTGTCTGTGTTTTATAGTGTCCTGATCTAATGCTCTAGCAACAAGCTAATATGTTACCCTCAAAATAACGCACAAACTAACATGCTAATCATGATACAACGATCCTGCACTTTCTGCAGCTCCTGACCTGGAGTAAAGTGGCAGCTGCTCCACCAATCAAAAGCAAAGGTGATTCAGCCATCTGGGCATTCTTCACTGCAGTAACTGTATTAGTGAGGCCTGGTCCTGCTGTTACTGCAGCCACACCTACTGTTCCTGCATGGAAAGTAGAAAATGCAATTTTAATCAGCATGCAATGGGGGTGGAGGGTAGGTCAAACCTGAATGTAGATGAATATGGATTTACACCATTAAACAGACACTGTAAAACGTTTTTTGATAATTACCCAGTTTTTCTCACTATTTTAGTCAATTCCCACCTGATAGCTTAGTCCCCCCAGCACATAATGCCACCATCCCGAGAGGATGAAAACTAGCTTCCTCTGAGACCTGTGTAGCGCCACCACATCTTTTTTAACTGCCACTAATGGACAGCTCAACAGACTTGAAAGAGAATATAGGCCCAAAAATTCTGTTACATCATTAACAGACATTCACACTGACTAGCATCGTGCTGAGTGATGGGGGAGAGAGGGGGCAATCCTACCCATCCAGATAGGGCAAGGCCAATTATGCTCTCTTGGACTGTTGGCCTCACCCTATCTGAGCCAGGCCTAGTTCAAACTTCCAAGAATAGGACCAATTGTTACACGGTTGTGCCACTAGGAAGCCCATATTGCAACAATTTTTATCAAAAGATTATGTTTTAAAGGAATGCAAATGTAGTGTTAGGCTTCTTTCCAAAAGCAGCATAAATGCTAGCATATCTCCTCTAGTGGGGAATTAAACCCCTGTCTCCAGCATACATGTTTGTGGTGTTAATGACTACCCTAACTGCTATGAATAAGTTATAGCTCTAAGTTGTAACTATAAAGTTTACAGTGCCTCTTACTGCCATGATTGTGTTTAGCTGATGTTCAAACTGTTTAAATATTGAAATGTAATGCTTTTTAAAAGGGACATTATCAGTGTTTATCCCAGGGAATTTGCTATGGTGATGTGTGTGTCTGTTATAGTCAGAGCAGATCGAGAAGCAATCTGAACTGACAGACAGAACTAAATCAGAGGAGGCACCCAAGAGTGATGAAGCCTGTGGAACCCAAACTGACCTATGAGTTGTATTATGGGGTGAGGTCAGAGCTGAGCAGAAATGGTTGACCAATGGCAGAGGCAGTATAAAACACAACGATTATACACAACAACTAAGAGGGCACTTGCACAGAGTAAGGACAAAATGGTAGAGTCTCAAGCCCGTCCCTCAGACTCTATCTGTGCATGTGCCTCCTTACAGATAATAACAGCAGCAATGAGGCTGATGAAACAACTTTGACTGAAGGTCTAAAGGGCACATCAAAGGGAACACCGTGTTATTAGCTGAGGTCAAAACCATAAAATGTTGTTTCTTATCCAAGTGCACAGCAAAAACAGTTTCACAACACTGTTTTTAGAAAGAAAAATGACCTGCTGGGAAATGCTGGGCACCACTCACCCCTGAAGTTGACAGTTCTCCAGAAGGTAGGTTTGGCCTTCTGGAAAATTTAGCTAAACATACTTATTTCAACTGCAGCTCCTGATGGAAACACATTCATTCAGGCTTACCGGAGAGTCTTGCAACAGCGTCAGCAGCAAACACAGCTGTGGCTTCATGGCGAGTGTCCACAATACGAATACCCAGTTTCTCACATGCAACCAGAATGGGCGAGATGTGTCCACCAACTAGCGTGAAAACAAACTTGATGCCATGAGCACGCAGAACCTCTGCCACACTCTCGCCTCCATGCCGAGAGCTCTTCGTCTCTGCCTGAGATAGGTTGCAAGAGTTAACAAATTGAAATCAATTTGTCAGTCACTGTTAAATGCTACATCCAAAACACAAACATTGCATGAAAGCTAGACTAGAATGGGCCAGCTGGCCACTCAGTGGTATAATGGTAATTAGTAATTGGTTCCCATTGATCATTACTGTTGGTTAGCATTTTGCGTGAAGCATAGAAGCTGTCATCAGAAAGTCTTCTATCTTCTAACAGTAACTTTACAGAAGAACGAAATGTCTGTTAATGTAAGTTAAAAAAAATTCAAAATTAATTTTCCCCATTCATGATAAAATGTTCAGACAATTAAAAGGGAGGCCAGCATTCTGACAGTGTAAATGTAAAAACACTGTTCCTTGTAATGTCATTTTCATTCCTCTTGAGCCTACAGTTCCACAGTGACTCTTCATACCACAGCCACAGACTGAAGGTGTGATCTGCACATGCAAGACCAAAATGAGTCATGCACTCTAAAAGAGCTTGTTTTGATATTAGATCTTTTTTCTTTCATAGTACAAAAAATACTAGCTTAATTATAATTTCTCAACTACAATACTGCAAACATATTACTATGTTACATTTGATACAGCCTTCACCAATTTTAATAATTTTAATGATTAATTCATTAAGATTAAAACAAAGTAATCACAAAGTCCAAGTCTTTAAAAGCTACCTATAAAAAAAAACTAGTATATTAAATAGTCATACAGGGTCTGATGCCTGAGACATTGTTTTTACTATATATTTTTTTAATATATGCAGGTTGTTGTAAGGCTGAATTTATTTTATTCTACAGGGGTTCAGTCCCAGAGCGGCATCTGGCAGCAGGAAGTGGCAACTCCGCCGTCCGGCAATGGCACCTACTGGCATGTGCCACTTAGCGAATGGCACCTGACACTGACAAATGGCAACGAGTGGCACATGCCGCTCATGCCACTCGGTTAGTGGCACTCGCCAGTGGCCACTGCCACACAAAAACGGCGTGTGCCTCTCAGAACAGGCACATACCAACAGCTCCTGTGAGTAAAGCAAAGACTCTGGACAGCGGCTACTCGGCTGGGCTAACTAGCGGCATATCATAGCTCCAGCATCGGCCATCAGAATCTGGGAAAAGTCATGGAGGAATGTTGACCTAAAGACTCTGTGCAGATAGTCTGTCATTTTGGACTTTTGTTGTGGCACGGAGAGCTGAAGAAAGCAGCTCGTGTTACAGATGTACTCGAACTAGCAGTAGCAGTACTAGCTACTCATCACACAGTGGACAAAGTTCCAAGGTTTGAAAATAGTAAAATAGTTCTTGATTGGCCTGCATCACACAGGTAAATGCCCCAGTTGAAAGTTTGATCTCAAACGTAAGCAATATTGGTCAATAACTGTATTCAGTAATTCTTGTGAAATGTGTTTCTGTTACTAATTTCGGAGTTCCTGAGCTATTGCGTAACATTTACGGTTACAAAGCTACCTCGCCACATTTGCAAGTATTGTACAGTGTTGTTCTCATGGTATATGGGGTATTTAAAGTTTTAATTATGTGAGTAATCTTAAAGCACGTGCAATGTAAAATAAAAGGAAATGTACTGGTACATTTTTTTTTTTAGGTACAATGTAAATTTAACCAAATGTGTACCTTAAATATGCTTTTCCCAGGTAAAGGTTATATATTTGTTCATTTGCATAATCTAAAACAGAACAATAAAATAAAAAAAGCATGGAGACAAGACTGGGTATGTTCAGTCAATATAGTTGCAATAGATTACGCTCCCCAAATAAAAGGTACTCAAGATGTACCTTGAGGGTACCACCCCTGTGACAGTTCAGTATAAATCCCTGTGTGTTTAAAACATTAAGTTATCCCCACTTTAACTGATGTAACATTGAGAGCTCTTGACAGTATGGATGAATATAGGTCAAGGGGGCAATCAATCAATTTTTTGTCACGTTTTGTGATAGTTTCCACTACTGACTCCCTTATGAACAGCATGGCGCGCTATTTTCAAAACTTAGCACTTGGTAACATGTAAATATAATTATCTCCCCCACCACCCAGCAAAATGCTGGCCAACAGTAAATGGCTAGTGCCACTCCTGAGCGGCACATGCCAGTGCCTTTACCCTCAGTAAATGGCTAGTGCCACTCCTGAAAAAATGATCAATAAAAACAAGAGCACAAGCCTGCGTTCCTCTTGTCCTGTTTAATAAATACGCTGATAAATAGTCTATACATACTTTAGATTTAGCATGAATAACACCACAATGAATTTCGTAATTAGTTCGAGTACATCTGTAACACGAGCTGCTTTCTTTAGCTCTCCGTGCCACAACAAAAGCCCAAAATGACAGACTATCTGCACAGAGTCTTTAGGTCAACATTCCTCCATGACTTTTCCCAGGTTCTGATGGCCGATGGTGGAGCTATGATGTGCCGCTAGTTAGCCCAGCCGAGTAGCCGCTGTCCAGAGTCTTTGCTTTACTCACAGGAGCTGTTGGTAGTGGCACCTGCCACACAAAAACGGCGTGTGCCTCTCATTACCAGTTTTCGTGTGTCCAGAACTTTTTAAAGTCAGAAACACGTCAGCTAGCAAACGAACAATACAACAGACAACAATACGATCTACAAAGCATGAGAAGCAGAGTAAACCATCACTTTTTACACTGTTCCCCGTTGTTCTTGCAACCATCACGGGCCTGCTTCGATAAAGCGATCAGCTAAAAACTAAAACGTGTCTGTTAGTTGGCTGTTGACGTCTCATTACATAATTGATTAACTTATATTAATACGTACCTTGTGGAACAACCGGTAGAGCAAGCCAAGTTTATAAGCAGCAAACAGAACCACTCCAAAAACAGCACCGAGAGAGCAACCTACGACCGTGCCGACGTCCATTTGTAGGTAACAATGTCTAACTAAGGAGCTAAACGATATTCAGTTTCTGAAGTCAAAACGACAAATTAAACTAATCGACAAAATAAACAAAAAAATGATGGTTACTATGTTAAGTCAATAAGCAAGTTTACTTTTCAGCACATTCAACAATTTTAAATAATACTTCTTTGTCGAACAGTATCGTATACAACATGTTATATCAGACCTCTGGTTCAACAACTTCTTAACCTTAATCTTATCACCTGCCTTTCCTGCACTACTGTTCTGTCAGTTCTACGTTTGTGTTTCAACCAAACATGACCAATGAGCAGGATACGTTTGTGCTGTCCCTTCGTTCCGCTATTTGCGCAGGGCTTAAACATTCAAGGCAACGTCTCCCTCTAGTTGTTCTTTGAGAATTCCAGTCATACTGGATCGTGTAAAGAACTTGTAGAGAGGAGAATTACCACTCTGCAATGTCTTCCGGGTTTCTCAAACGCTAGGGGGCGCTCCCGAGCGAGTCCAAAATGAATGGGTTGATATGGAGCATTTGAGCAAAATCATAGTTTATAAATGCTTAAACATTTTTAATGTAAATGAATGCAACAATTTCCTGAGCACTGAATAGCATAAAACATTTTAACACTGCTCTTATATTTTTAAGAGCCTTTAAACTCGAGCTATAGGAGTTTAAAACGGCGCCTCATGTATATCCATGACGTCAGTGAGCGCGAACAGCCAATGAGCTGCTCCGCTCGCCAATCAATCATCACGCTCTAGCAGTAATGCCCGCCTTCTGCTGCCCAAAACCCGTTTGCATACATCCATCCTTTTACTTTCTAAAATAAAAAAAAACGTTCTGGTCAAGTGATTAGAAACTATTTTAACTTTTCGTTTTTAGCCGTTGAGCTCCATTTACTCCCATTCATTGAGGACTCGCTCGCAGGCGCTCTTTGCTGTTTAGCAGTCCTGTTTTTGATATAACGGGGAGGAATAGGAAGTGGCCAGGCTCCTCATAAACCGGCTCTGTAGCTATGCCTTAGAGCCCATTCAGCCAATGAAAACACAGCGGCAACTGCGTGGCAAGCTTCTCTCCCGTTACTGCCAGCCATTGGGAGCCATTGACAGTTGGCTGTGCCAGAAGCAGTCCTAGAAGGAAGAGTTTTATTTGCAGTTCAGCCAAACTCAATTCACGGTTCGCCCCTCCTATTGTCCTCAAACAACCGCATAAAAATATATGAAATTACATTTTCTTAATCGTGGTAAAACAGAACAAACCACAATCTTTTTATTTCGTTAATATACCAGATATTTCCATTTCGCCAAGTATATTTGATCAAAATGACAGGAATAGCTACAGCAGGCGCCGAAGATGGTAGAGACTGTCTTTAAAGTGGCAGAACGATATCATACCTTGTTAAAACATTACTGCTACTTTTACAAAGTTATGCGAAAAAATACAGACATACAGTGAAAAAAGACTTAACTCAAACCTGCTATAACTTTGCAAAACTGCAAAAATGCTACTGATACATCCATATGACATAGAGATCTAAAACACATACCTACTACAACCTTTAGTTTGTTACAATATGTCTTAGTTGAATCTGAGTCATTTCTGTGACACAACTATTGGTGTTGCTAAGCCAATGTTACTTAGAAAGAAGATGACTTCAGCTTTGTATGAAAAGGTCATCACAACAGTTTGATGTCACTCAATTCTTCAATCTGTAGAAGGAAATTAAGAGGCAGCAGCTCCGTCGAAGGCCAGCCAGATGAGATTTTCACCAGTTACAACAACAAAAAAAATAAATAAATTGATTGATCATTGTTTCTTTGAGTTCTCATAAATCTGAGTTTAATAAAATTAATGTATTAGTAAACACAGGAAGAGAGGGAGAGAAAGAAGCTGAAGGAGACTGACAGGCCTGAAGGAACAGATCTGATGGAGGTTAGAGATCAAGAAGAAAGCGAGAGGAGAGTTAACATTAATACTGAATTTAACTTAACTGAGAAAATATAATATTTGTCACTATGACCATGAAATTCTGTCACCTAGCTTATTAAACAGGCCTGCAAAGCAAAAACACGCTCTTTCGGATTGCACCAACTGATGGAACTGATCTTTAATCTATGTATTTGAATAATATATTTAGGACCTTGAAGCTTATAAGAGAGAGGAGATTGCATTGCTTGACTTCAGTACCTTTGCTTGATCTGTGCCTGCTGTAGGTGGATGAATACAGTGTTTGTTATTCTAGCTCTGTGGTCAAGTCAAAGTCAAGTCAAGTCAAAGTTTATTTATATAGTGTTTTTTTATAACAGGTGCTGTCACAAAGCAGCTTTACAGAAAAATCCGGGTCCAAGCCCCCATGAGCAAGCCAATGGTGACAGTGGCAAGGAAAAGCTCCCTAAAAGCAAGAGGAAGAAACCTTGAGAGGAACCAAGACTCAAAAGGGGAACCCATCCTCCTCTGGTCAACACCGGATAGCAAACAGCATTAGTATAAAATGTTATAATACAAAACAGGGAAAACAGGTGGAGCAAAGGTTAATTAGATTAGTTTTAGTTTATGCAGCAGCAGCAGCATCATCAGGAGGGTCAGTTCATGAGGGTGAGGTTTGCGCAGCGTTGTACAGCATGAAGCTCTATGGTGGTCAAACCAGTCCAGAAGGCTGGCGAGCAGTGGGCACCTGATCAAGGCAGAAGAAGCAACAGCATCAGACCTCACAGGATGGGCAGTTGTTCAACTCGGCAAAGAAAAGGAAAACACACAGAGAATTAGTTCTATAAAGAGTGACTGATCACAGATTACAGTATTGACGGAGTGCAGCACAGACTCCGGAAGGTCTAGTTATTACAGCCTAACTAAAAGGGAGAAACCAGAAAGGTAACAGAGACATGAGGGCTCCCTGAGATGTCAGCACCCCTCCGCTCCACCGTCAGCAAACTTGAGTGAACGCGTGACAGCAGCGGGACAACAGCACCAACACTCCCAGTTTACCATAACACTCTGTGTACATGAACCCCCAGATCTGCACCTTTTACCTAACAGGGAAAACTAATTACCAAAGCAAGTCCGTTTAGAGCTTTATATGTCAGTAAAAGAATTTTGTAATCGATGCGAAATTTAACTGGCAACCAGTGTAGGTTTGAAAAAACTGGGCTGATATGGTCAAACTTTTTGGTTCTTGTGAGGACTCTGGCTGCAGTGTTCTGGACTAGCTGAAGCTTGTTAAGGCTTTTGCTGGAACAACCAGACAGCAGGGCATTACAGTAATGTAGCCTTGAGGTAATAAATGCATGAGATGCGGAGATGCAGGAAGGCTATTCTAGTAATATTCGTTATATGTGCGTCAAAGGACAGATCAGGATCTATCGTGACACCAAGATTTTTTACAGATGAACCTGACGCAACTGAGAAACTATTACATTTAAGTGTTAAATTAGACAGTTTGTTTCTAGCAGCTTTTGGACCAAGAAGCAGAACCTGTTTTATCTGAGTTAAGTAGGAAAAAATTACTTAACATACAGTCTTTTATACAGCCCTCAATCTTGCTAAGTTGAATTTTATCATCTGGTTTGCTTGATATATATAACTGTCATCGGCACAGCAATGGAAATTGATGCCGTGTTTACTGATAATGGTGCCCAGTGGTAGCATATACAATGTGAATAATATAGGTCCTAAAACAGAGCCTTGTGGAACACCATACTTTACCTTTGCGAGGACAGATGATCCACCGTTTACATTAACAAACTGATAGCAATCGGTGAGGTAAGATCTGAATGAGAAAAGAGCTATTCCTATTACCCCTACAAGGTTTTCTAGTCTACCTAGTAATATAGAGCAGTCTATCATGTCAAATGCTGCACTATGATCAAGGAGGACTAGCAAAGACACATTTCCTTGGTCAGAGAATAATAAAAGATCGTTTACCATTTTCACTAATGCTGTCTCTGTACTATTATGTGGCCTAAACCAGACTGACATTTTTCATGTATATGATTGCTATGCAAATAGGAACATAATTGTTTTGCCACAACTTTTTACAAGATCTTTGATATAAAGGGGAGATTCAAGATCTAATTATAAGTATAATTTGATAGTTCGCAGGAATCAAGGTTAATTAAGGTCTAATTACTGCTAGTTTAGGAGTTTTTGGGATATAGCCAAGGCTAAGAGAGGAGTTTATTATTGACAGAATAGGCTTGGTTATTTCTGGCAAAATTTCTTTGAGTAAACCTGTAGGAATCGGATCTAACATTCAAGTAGAAGATTTCACGGAGGAAACAATTTTAACTAGTACATTTTGTTGAAGTAAGGTAAACAATTCCAGCCCCTCTTCAGTGGTTACAATATTCTCAAGATCTAGACTGGCATTATAAGGCAGCAAGTTTGTAGAGTTTAACTGTGCATTCTGAATTTTCTGCCTAATTTTTTCAATTTTATCACTAAAGAAATTCATAAAATCATTGCTGCTATGGGCTAATGGCATCTAGGGTTTAGTAACTGTTTGGTTCTTGGTTATTTTAGAAATTGTGCTAAATAATCTAGGATTATTCTTATTGTTCTTAATGTCATTAGTACCTACATGAAGGACTATCCTCGAATATCTACGGCCAGCTACCAGCTTCAGGTTCCCTCTAATGTCTGGAGCCCTGGCTACCGGTATACAGTTAACTGCTACTGGTGCCCCTAAGGGAGAAGCTATTTTCACATGCCGTAAAAAAGAATCACCTATAACCAGAGCTCTTTCAACAGGCGTCTCAGAGGGTGTCTCACTGAGTGGGGCAGACCTGTTGGACACATGAATGGGAGATGAGTGGTGCTCGCATGGGGTAGCTTTAGCTTTAGTTTTGCGGTTATGCCGCCGAGACGCCACCCAATCGCCGTGCTGTGAGGGCTCTGCTGCCGGAGTCGAGGGCATGCTAGCTCTCCCTGAGGCACCCGGAGCATCTAAAAGCGAGCCAATTTGACCAAATAATCATTTTTGATATACTTATCACGGCTGATGTATTTGATATTTTCTGGCTATTGCTACTCTAAAAGTGCATTATAAACATTTTGGGGCCATTAAAAAAATCTTCCCCCCATTGAATATTTCAATGGAGAAACAGAAGTCCAGATAATTACAGTGAAGCTGTTAAATTTTTGAAAAATCACCCAGGTGTACTTCTGCATGAAGGTATGATGGTACTAACCAAGCGCCAGTGGCTCTTGACATTTACTTATAAAAGCTGTCAACATCTGCCTCTCAAAGCTATAACAATGCAAAGTTTTGATACCACCTTAAGCTGTTTATAAGTGGCACCCACTGTTTAAGAAGTGACCTTTATCTGCACTGTTTATAGTGGATTCCACTGACA